TTGTGATCTCAAAAATAATATGTGACCAATTAATTATGTATCTGTGACCATTAATTGTCGCCGAAAAGTTCGTCGAAAATTTCGCCGAAAGTCATCGAAAGTCGTCGCAGTAGAGTGACCGCCGGAATAGTCCCCGGAGTGGTATGGGCGATGGAGATAGGATGTATTAATTATATTATATTAAAATTAAATATTTAATAAATTAATTTAATAATTTATTATTACATAAATAACAATTAAAAAAATCTGATTTTTAAAATTTGAAACTTGTTTTTTTATTTTTGAAAGGGTATAAACTAAACATTTTAGTTATGAATTCTTCCCTTTTTTTTAGATGAACAGGGCCAACGTGGCCCTGTTCAAACAGTGGGCTGGGGAGCGCGACATCTGCCACCTGTTTGAACAGAGCCTGCTTAATCCTTGGCAACTAGATGAAAGGGGCCCCAAAGAGAAAGCCCAATAAATTGGAAGCCCAATACAAAGAGCATTGTCGTCTTCGTTCAAACATTTCAAAACCCAAACAAAATTATTAGCTTCGAAGGTTTCTCTGCTGATTGATGGAGATTTATGAATCAAATTCAACTCAAACTGCACCTAGTCATGCAGATATGATACATGCTATACATCTCTATGCACACGGTTCGGATTCAAGTCTTTAGAATAATCGGATTTTCGAAGAACATATGCAAATTTTTTCAATTCAGTAATCGAACAAATGAATTCATTTTCCTCTACATCGCTGCTTCCGTCCTTTCCGAAACCTTCAAATGGCTTGTCTAGTAATCGGAAAATCATAATCTCTGCAATTCCTCGCGTTGCAGTAAGTTCCTCTATCTACTTACTGTTCAGTTTATCGACATTTCGATTCTTTTTCTGTTATACGTCCTTGATCAAAATTGGGTACTGAGTAGCTTTATGTTGAGAATTTGGAAGCTATTTGTTTATTTGTTTTGGGTTAAATGTTTGACATGTCTTTATCTAACGCGACTCAAATTTTTTTTTTTTTTTGATAACTGTGGGTGTCCGGCCAGCTTGTGCCTGAAGTTTACGGCCGGGTACCAATGTTAAATCATAATTTTAACAGACACATCTTTGACATTTTTATGAAAGTCGAATGATATAATGCCCCTTGTATGAATTCAAGAAGTTAAACGTGCTACCGGTCAGTGAATTTTATCTTGGAAGAGTAATTNGTATTGGACTGGTTGCACGAAGTGGAAAGAATTTTTGAGTTACTTGATTTTCCAGAAACAAGCAAGTGCAGTTGGTGGAATTCAAGAAGTTAAAGGTGCTACTCGTCAGTGAATTTTATCTTGGAAGAGTAATTAACAAGTTGTGGTTGCAGATAATTTTCATTTCTATAATATTGATGTGAATCCCATAATTCGCACTCATGGAGCCCTATGTCCTTTTCTTTTTCTTGGCAAATTAGAGGTCTGAGATCAAAATTATAGAAATGAAAAATAGAAGAACTATGAAGAGAGAAAAAAGCAATTTAATCAAGGATTAACATTGCTATAGGAATGGTTGCCCAACTACAATTCCTCCCAGCAATGGAGAACGGGACCATTATGATTATGACATTGACGCAGATATTATTTGCATTTTGAAATTAATGTGAAACACTGCTTTATTGTGGCCTAATAATGTTTATTTGCTACTAAGACATGTTGGATATCTGGTTTGAAATTTGTAGGTAGCAGAAGATCTCATAATATATCTGGTTTGCATTTTGTAGGTAGCAGAAGATCTTATAACTCTAACTGCATACAGCCATCCTGTGCTGTCTGGAAGTTCCAAGAATCTCTGCAGCAAATTTTGTTGTCTGAAACTTTGGCTTCTTGAAAATCTGAAATTTCAATGGCCTAAGATAAAACATGAATGGAAAAATGAGTTCAAAATTTTGCAAATTCACGGCAAAGATGAGGTACTGGACAATTCAAAAGCATCGCATGAAAGACAAGTTTTTAAAGGATCACCGGCATCCATTTCATCAAATGGTTAGTAACAATATCATTTTCACCGTGTGGGATATATTATTTAATTATCCCGAGTGTTTGGCTTGATGACACATGAGATTGTCTTGTGAGCCTTTCTCATTGTATGGACCAAGGAAAGCTTGATTTACCAAACTTTATAACAACTTGTATCATGTTTCTGGTTTGCAATTTCAAAGCTAAAGCAGCATTAATTGTACAACTGAAATGTTTTGTATCGTTTTGAGTTTTTTAGCAGCATAGAATATTAACTTATATAACTTGATGATTGTAGTTTTCTATTAAGTCCCTTTTTTTAAAAGATATGTGGCCAATGAAATTGTTGATGCAATTGATAAATCGATGCAGATTATAATGGAGGGAAAGAATCGAGTTCACAGCCAGAAGGAAATTCTACATATGGTCAACCTTCCAATGCCAGCAGAGTGAACGTTGTTGCAGAATCCCCATCATATTCCTCCATTCAGCGTGCAGAAACTTCTGCACCAAATTTTCAGTTTGACAAGTCCACAAAAATTGGGGCTTCCTTGACATCTCCTCCGTCTTTGCTACAAACTCAATCCTTTAGTAGCAATTATCAGGATGGTACATCTAACTCTCTTAGCATTGCTGTTATTGGGGCTACTGGTGAACTAGCAAGGAGGAAAATCTTTCCAGCATTGTTTGCTCTGTATTACAGTGGTTTTCTTCCTAAGGTAACTCTGATGAAGTCCATTATAACTCGCGATATTTTTATTTCAGTGTATCCATATGGATTACAACTTTTCACACCCTCAATTTCCCAAATCAATAATATCTATAATCTCTGTTTCGTAGTGTCCATGGTCTCCCTTTTTCTCTTCTATAGTATTCTATTTATGTTTCATGTGATCACTTCACTTTTCTAGCTTTTTATAAATCTTTTAGCACCCTGCCTTTGCTTTCGAATTTCTTAGTACTCAAGAGAAAATAGTTCTCGATCAATGTTTAATATTTTAGATTATATCATTCCTTCTATTCAGATGGGGCCAGAGTAGGCCCTGAGAGAAAGTTAGAACTATTTATTGCAAAAACATAAAAAGAAATATTTGCCAGATTGTTATTGACCAGTGACCACCAACATCAGTTTTCTTTATATAACTTTTATTAAATTCAAGGAGGAGGAATGAAGGATCATACGATTACCATTATAGGCACTTTCCATGTAAAAAGTTGAAAATTAATGTTAGTTTGTTGGAACCATGATGCTATGAGAAGAATGTAAAGAAATTTCAGTGAAGTACATATTTGTTTCAGTTTCTGTGATGCTATCGAGATCTGTGCTGGGAATATTTCTTGTAATTATATGATGATTGATGCAGTATGTACCATTCGAAGATGTATCCCATTATTGAAGAATTGGCATGCAAAAAGGTCAATGATGTGGTTCCTTGTGAAACTACTTGGATGAAAGGTTTGCCGGGCCAACGTCCATGAGTACATGTTCAACTGGGAAATATTTAGTCTTGGTTCATGAAATTTGAAAACTTAACAACTTAAGTGAACATCACTGTTGTTAGATTATCCAAATACGTCATACTTTACTAATAAGGAAAGCTATTATAGTTACTTACTTTAGCTTTCTTGTTGCAGAATGTTAATATATTTGGATATTCGAGGAAAAAATTGACAGATGATGAGCTCAGATCCATGATAGCTTCAACGCTAACTTGTCGGATAGATCAGCAGTATGATTCTTTGTTTCATATCAAATACTTGTGATTATCATATGTTTCCTCGTCATTATATTTCCGCAAATTTGGATTTCGTTTTCACGTCAGTATATTTCCCTGAATCTCTGAAAAGAAGTTCTAAATTGAATATGTTGAAAAAGCCTGTGTAGTAGACCGACCACTTTATAGTTGCTGATAAATGTCGACACTTGTAACTTTCTAGTTTTCTTTTGTGTGTCACCAATAGAATCCCGTGACATAATGCTAGGATGTTCATACTCATGATAACACTTTATTGGAAATTGTTAGTCAGGAAATCTTGTAGGAGTATTCAAGAACCCAAGGGTGCTTTCTCATATTGTGGCTTATGAGAGTCTTTTAGGGATATTTAGAAAACTGAATGGGTATTGTGTGCTCTCTCATCCTGAGAATGGGTAGAGTGTTGTTATAGCAGATAACCTATCGATTTGTGGACAATTAATACTGAAAAAAAAAAGACTGAAGGAAAGAAAATGGGGCATGGACAAGCTGGGATGGTTGTAATCCACACTATTTGGTAGTGGAGGAAAGGGAAGGAATTGATGATGCTTATTACAAATTGTTTACTCTGATGTAGGTGGGCAAAATAGACATGCTTAAGCATTGGTATTATTTTTCTCTTCATATTGAAAACATTCAGCTGCTCTTTGTTATTCCAACTTTCTTTCCTTGTTTTTCAAATTTTCTTAGAACGCCAGTCTAGCCATGGAAGATGTGAACTTTATAGGCATTCCGATAGCTATTTGTTATAACCAAAATTAATATATGGAGGAAAAGCATGTAAATGTAAGTTGACTTTATCTGCTGACCATATAATATTTATGAATAAAAAAGAATCTCTTGAAATGCATCTTAAATTCCCTTTTCTAGTATCCTTTAAAAAAGTCCTACAATTTACCTTTCTGCAGGCAAAATTGTGAAGACAAAATAGATGATTTTCTTAGAAAAACATACTATCTGAATGGAGGGTATGATAACAGAGAGGGAATGTCAAAGCTTAGTGCTCGAATGGAACAAATGGAGGTATGATGGACAATAGTAAAGATCAGTATGCAAATTATTGTTCTTGGTTCTAAATTCATTTTTTTAATATAGAGGTCAACCTGTATTTTCTCTTATTTGTATTTATATGGACTAGCTATCTAGTGCCATCTAATAATTTTGAATAAAATTTCATTGTTAAATTCAAATTATTTGATGGTTTGACTTTGACCACTTACCTACCTCAGGGACAATTTGGAGCAAATAGAATATTCTACCTTTCTGTGCCCCAAGAAGCATTGCTGGATGTTGCATCATCTCTTGCTAACAATGCCCAAAGCCCAAAGGGTTGGAATCGCATAATAATTGAAAAGCCCTTTGGTTTTGATTCACAATCGTCTCACCAGTTGACTCATGCTCTTCTTTTGAAAATTGAGGAAAAGCAATTATATAGGTGTGCAGGTGTCTTTCAACTTAACATTATTCTGATCCACTGGTCGTAGTGTGATTACTTATATTATGCTTTCCCAAAACCTTGGTTTTCAGGATAGATCATCTTTTGGGCAGGAACACCATTGAAAATCTAACTGTACTAAGGTTCTCTAATCTAGTCTTTATGCCATTATGGAACCGAAATTACATACGCGATGTACAGGTATTTTTCTTAGTCAACAATTTTACTTCTTAATGCAGCTGGGTTTTCTCTGTTCTTTTTGTTCTTCATTTCACTTTTTGCATCCTAAGGCATGGATTAATGATTTCAGGTCATTCTATCTGAAGATTTGAGTATGCCGATACAATCAAGGCAAGCAAGATCGCCGTTTATGCAGTATCTATACTTCATGGCTTACATTCCCAGTTAATGTTATTGCATTTGTTATCCTCTAGGTATCCAAATGGCTATGGGATTATAGGTGATATCGTACACAGTCACGTATTCCAGACCATCGCGTTGCTTGCTATGGAACCTCCTATAACTCTTGATGGTGAAGATGTGCGAAATGAAAAGGTGTATGAACTTTCCATACACGTGTGTGATATTATTTATTTACTGGACATTTTGTCAATGTTGATTAAAATTCTCACCAGGTCAAACTATTGAGATCAATTCGGAAATTGGAACCTAGTGATGTAATACTTGGACAGTGCACCCCTACTCCTGGCTGCAAGGGTGATGCTAAATTGGAAAAAGCAACCCCTACATTCTTTGCTGCTGCTTTGTACATTGACAATGCACGTTGGGATGGTGTCCCGTTTCTGATTAAAGTTGGCAGAGGACTCATCAAACACAGGTTAGTGTATTGTTTTCCCATGGTAATATTTCGATTTCTGCTAAAAACGACTTGGGTACGAAAAGATCAGCACAAGGAATATTTGATGTAAATTCTTTCATCAGTTAGTTGCAGATATGGCCGTAAGAGTGGGGTTTCTTTAAAATCTTGGTTTGCCTGTGACTTGGTGTAAAAACCGCTACTGCAATCTTTACTAAGTGCTGATATCAATCAGTTGAAATTCTCTTTTCAACCCATCCACCCCCCTTTTCGCCTGTATTGGTGAAGAATTCATTTTGATAAAACAGTAACCTTGCATTTGTTTGCAATTTACAAGTGCTTTATCGTACCACATCCGCTATTTGATATTTTGTGCAATGCTGCAAACTTTATCAAAGTTCCAAAATATTAGTGCTTTTCTAATCACTTAAGATGCAATGTTGCAGAGTTGAAATACGCATACAATTCCGAGATGTTCCTGGAAATATTTTCCGCGGACATATCCAGCATAATATAAATCTATCCACCAACGAGCTGATTTTACGTGACATGCCAGACGAAGCCATCCTAGTCAGAGTAAACAATAAGATTCCAGGACTAGGCATCCACTTGGATGCTTCAGAACTGAATTTGCTTTACAAAGATAAGTAAGCTATCTTATATTATCGAATATTTTTCAGCGATATTGCAAAGAGCTTTTTACACCCTTGTCGTCATCTTAATCTGCCAGGTACAATGTAGAAGTGCCTGATTCATATGAGCAACTTCTTCATGATGTAATAGATGGAGACAACCATTTATTCATGAGAAGTGATGAGGTAGCAGCTGCATGGAATGTTTTATCTCCAGTTTTGCACGAGTTGGACAATGAAAACTTAGTACCGGAACAATATGAATTGGGGGGTAGAGGTCCAGATAACGCTATCTATCTCTGGGCGAAACATGGGGTTCGATGGTTGGATGACTAGCAAAGGCTTCCCATTTCTATGGTTCCATGATCAAGTGATGCTGGAAGTGTAATTTACAACAAAAATAAACGATAATATTTGCTTATGTGGGATTTCTTGTATTTACTCGCTATAGATGAATCAGCTCGTGTATCAATTGATCTTGTATTTCGTTCACATGATCGTGTTTTCTTTCATTTGTTTGATCAACAAATCAGAAATACATGGTAAAGTTTGGAAGGCCGCGACTGGCCCTGAGAGGGAACGAATGGAAAAAAAATAATATGCAGTATCAATGGAGAGTTATATTTCTAGTTCTTTTTTATTGGATCAATACAAAATCCTGCTCGAATTCTTGGCTAAACTAGATAGTTTATATGAGTAAAATAAAACGGCTTTCTAGAATCCATATTATGCAATGAGACATTGCTTTTGCTAATTCAAATTGAAGGATGATATATGCAAATGTGATTTTGTTGCCATTTTTGAAAGAGAAATTACATAATTTCATTGATCAATATAATACAAAATAATAGACAAGTACTCAGTAGCAAAGTAAGCCAGCCTATGGACTGTCATGTTCCTCGAACGGGATACGTAGCAACAATGATCTGCACCAACATCAACTAAAACAGTTACAGGGATACAATACCGAGGGTAACATTTGTTATGTAATGAAATATTTTTCAAAATGGACATCGATTTTAAAAAATGCAAGGTTTTAAAGAAACTTTTGTTATGTTCATCGTCAAATTTTGGACTAAAACGAAGACTCTGAATATGTAATTCATTAATAACTATGTTTGGCATGTGGAATAT